CCTTAATACTATACAGTGTAGGTTATATTCTCATTATTTAGAGCACCCTTTTGCGCAAAAAGCGTACAAAACAGTATTCTATTCTAGAGTACTACCAGCAAAAATGCAACTTTGAAGTTCTATAAAATAGCAGACAGAGGCTTCCTCTAAGAAAAAATGATACTTTCGTAAAAGTTACATCCTAGTCCTTTATTTTAAAATGAGAAATGAAATATTTGCTATATGCGCCAAAGTATAGTCTTACAAATAAGATCATAATCAACGAAAATAAAAAATAATAAATTTTGTTGGGGTTATTAAATTCGGAAGTATTTATTTTGATCAATTATCAATATCAAGTTTTCCAATTTTCTTATATTCAAGCATAGTTCTAATAGCGTCTACCTGATAGTGACCATAAAACCTTCCCCAGTCCAAAATAATCTTCCTCAGTTTGAAAAAAGCTGTGGTATAACCCAACCTGGAATGCTGTTCACACGCTGTTCGATAAGTGACTAGTTTGACTGGTCTACAACAAAAAGGAACTACGTCTATTGTATGTAAATGCAAAAAGTACCCAGGGAGCCCGCTTAGTTCTCCCAATTAGTTATTCTTCTTGCCTTGTCTTCAACGTGAAAAGCAATTTACTCAGCAAATCTTCCTCTCCAATTAATCAGCCAGCTTCCCAGTCGTTCTTCCTCTAATTCTTTAATTCGCCCATTTCAATAATTTCAGCCCATTGTTAGGCATTTCATTAATTAGGATGTTTTTAATAACCCTAACGTTTATAGTTCGAGAGGCGGCGATCGCTTTCGGCAACCGGCATTGAAGAAGCTGATCAGTACTTTTGGTCAGACTGCAATTTCTGTTGTTCAAACTCAGATTCTTTATTTTAATGTCGATGTTACAAAGCATATAGGAACTATCAATTAAAGTTAAAAAATAACAGTAAAACAAAAATAAAAACAAATTTTGGATGGGCAGACGAGGCCCCATCCAGTGGCCGCCGAGATCTCCAGACCTAAATCCTTTAGATTACGGCTGAATGTAGGCAACTAACTTAAGACATGAGGGTACGAACTTTTCGTTGGGCCACCCTGCATATAAATATATTTCTGACGTATTGAGTAATATCTGATGATTAACACAGTCAAATGCACCACTCAAGTCGCAAAAAATAGCTGAAGGATATTCGCCTGCTTTTAGTTCTATATAAAAGGCAGTCCTTGTTAGAATAGTCGATCTTCCTTCCTGGAAACCATGTTATATATTGGTAATTACCTTGAAGTTGCTCAAAAAATTCATCATATAGTCTGAAAATGCATATTCGATGCCTAAGATAAACTTTCGGGCATAGTTACCGATCTGTAATTCTTCATCAGCGTTTGCTCTTTTTTCTTATACAGGGTGTCGCATCGAAAACGAAAGCTCAGTTTTTTTGGAAAAACGATCAGACCCGTCGATTTTGTTTTCGAGGGGTACACAAGTTTGGCAAAAAATCACGTTAACACGTGCAGCCTCCTGGGCGGGGGTGACACCAACCCTAAAATCTTAATATTTCGATAATTTCAACTCTTTCTGCTGTGGAATATACCATGGTTAATTTATGTAATAAAGCGTTACAAGTTATTTTAGCAACAAAGTTTGATCAAATCAATCGCAAACTATGTACTAAACTTCTACGTACGAGAAATAGCTTTTTTGCATTTACTTATTAAGTAAATTCTTTTAGCCAAATTTCTTCTGAAAGTAATACAAACTAATCTGATTCACCTATTAAAATCTACTTTAAGCTTTAAATCCATAAATCTTCAAAACTACTGAACTGAAGCTCATTTATTTCACAACATTATAAAGGGAATTGAAAGACCTTTAAAATAAGGTATCACTCGACCCCCCTCTCCATTTAAGATTTTGGGGGTGGTGTCACCTCCGCCGAGGAGGCTGCACGTGTTAACGTGATTTTTTGCCAAACTTGTGTCCCCCTCGAAAAGAAAATCGATGGGTCAGAGCGTTTTAAAAAAAAAACTGAGCTGTCAGTAAATGCGTCTGTTTCGTTTTCGATGCGCCACCCTGTATAGTGTAATCACCTTAACTGTTTTTATTTTGCTAGGGAATTTCTCAGATAGAAAGGAGATACAGGTATCTATGAGGTATATAAGTGGATTTATTATTAGAGGAAGAATCTTTCTAATTAAATAGCATATATTGTTAAATATTTATTTGCTTGCACTGTGATGATTACTTTGATATTGCCTCATTGCTCAGAGATGGTAACCGGTATTGACAAAACGATATGCGCGACTGTTCTTTTAAAAAATCAGATTTTTTTTCGGACAGGACAGCTTTTTGTTTGTTAGCAGCTCGTCCTATCTTGCTTCGTTTTCGAGTATAAAAAACAACTTCATTACAAACATTTTGAAAAAGTGTTAAAACTTTGATACTTGCTAGGAAATGTTTTGTTGTTATGAAGATATGTTTGATCTTCTGTGACAGTTCGCTATTATTTTTTATCCCAAGAAGCAAAAACATTTATTCGACTGTTTCCTTCTGTTTCTCTTTTGCAATATACTAATGTAGTTGCTACCAATGTTCTCAAAGTATTCCTATTTCTAATTAGTGCGGGATATAGTATTATTTTGGATAGTACCCAGCGCAAACTGTGGCAATCAGATCGCTTCCAGAGTAATTACACTGATCAACAGCCAAAAAATATCCTAAATATAATCAACAAAATATTACTATTTTTAATGTGCTAAAACCGGAATAAAACTTATTTTTTCAATATTAGTTCAAGTTTTAGAGATACGGTAATTATATGTGTTCCTGCTGTGACAGTGTTGATATACCGTAATTCACAAGAATGCACGTGCTACATTTTTCTATTCGGCAAGGAATGATGATGTAATCGGCATGATTGTGTTACGTTATACATACGTGTCCATAATATTGTTTTATATTAGCCATTTTTTCCTCAGTTGGCTGACAGCGTTCATGCAAGATGTCTCGAAAGTGTGTAAACAATCCAAATCAGTTTTGTTACGTGTGTGGTGATGTGACTTTTGCGTCTCAGAGACGGTCTATTACTCCACTAATAACAAAGGCATATCAGCTTTATTTCGGTTATAAACTAGGTGATCAAGACAAACAGTGGGCACCCCACATCTGCTGTAATACATGTGCTTCAAGTCTGAGGAGCTGGTTAAATGGCAAAAAAAGGGTCTATGCGCTTTGCTGTCCTAATGGTTTGGAGAGACCCTACAAATCATATTAATGATTGTTACTTTTGCATGGTACTTTGTGTTGGACAAGCCACAGGTATGTCCAAGAAAAAAAAATTGGTTATTAACTACCCAAACATACAATCTGCGATGAGACCTGTGCCTCACAGTGACGAAAATCCTATTCCAAAACCCCCAGAATCCTACACTTGCGAATCAGAAAACGAATCAGATCATGGCGATCGAGTGATTCGTCAGGAAGCAGATATGCCATCAACGTCAAGAGATCCTGATTTTATACCGAGCACGTCATGCCACCAACCGCACAAAATAACACAGTCAGAATTAAATGATCGTGTAAGAGATTTAGAACTTCCAAAATGTAAGGCAGAGTTACTTGGATCAAGACTGCAGCAGTGGAACTTATTAGAAGACGATGTTTCGGTATGTGTTTTTCGTAAACGCCACAAAGACTTAGAACCATTTTTCAATATGGAGAATAACGTGGTTTTCTGTAGTAACATTAACGGCTTACTGGCGGCTTTAAATATAAACTATAACCCAGAAGAATGGAGATTGTTTATAGACAGTTCAACATTGAGTTTAAAGGCAGTGTTATTGCATATTGGAAATATTTTACCATCTCTTCCTGTAGGGTATGCAGTTCACATGAAAGAATCATATGACAATATGAAGTACCTATTGACATGCATAAAATACGATGAGCACCAATGGCATATTATGTGGCGATTTGAAAGTTGTTGCACTTTTACTTGGGCTGCAGCTAGGCTACACAAAGTTTTGCTGTTTTTTGTGTGAATGGGACAGTCGGGCAAAGGCACTTCATTACACCAGACAAAACTAGCCTGTTCGTCAATTCCTAGAGCCAGGTCAAAAAAATGTACAGCATATGCCATTAGTAGATTCGAAAAAAAATTTATTACCACCACTGCATATCAAGTTGGGCCTAATGAAAAACTTTGTCAAGGAATTGGATAGAGATGGGTCAGTTTTTCAATACCTGCGTCAGAAATATCCAAGACTAAGTGAGGCAAAGGTTAAAGAAGGTATTTTTGTTGGGCCACAGATTCGAAATATTTTGAAAGATAGTTTGAAAACACCTTAACAGGTATTGAAAAAACTGCTTGGAATGATTTCCGTCTGGTGGTCACTAATTTCTTGGGAAATAGAAAAGCTGACAACTATAAAACCCTTGTCAAAAATATGCTGTCATCGTATCAAAAGATGGGCTGTAATATGTCTCTTAAGATACATTTCCTACACTCACACCTGGACTTTTTTCCTGACAATTGCGGAGCCGTAAGTGATGAGCACGGCGAACGTTTTCATCAGGATATTTCAACAATGGAAAAAAGGTACCAGGGAAAGTGGAATCCTTCCATGCTTGCAGACTACTGTTGGACTCTTGGTAGAGATGCTCCAGAAACGATCCATAAAAGAACAGCAAAAAGATAGCGCATATATTGATTCTTATAGGTATATGAATCTTGTTACTTTTTTCAATATATCCTTAAAAATAAAAAGTTTTTTCTCTAAACCGCAACTAATTTTTTTATTTCAATGTCATTTTTGGATTTAGCGCCCCAAAATTAACAAAGAAGTGCACTTTTCCCACAAGATACAATTAAAAAACTAAAATTTGTTGTCCAGTGTTATTTATTCATAATATACTTTCGGCTTCCTCAAAGCGATTTGCTGAAATTGGTCGCAACCTCTCTAGCTATAACGTGCAGGAAAAATATAAAAAGTTCATAAAACATCAAGAGCGTTCAGTACACACTTTAGCTTCGGTTCACAATGAACGACTTTCGACCGATTCCGGAAGTTGAAAAGCACGGCGAGTTTTTGCAGAAAGTCGTCGATCTTTTGTTCAAGAATATCGTTTTCACCACTCGTCAGGTAAATTTAGTATATCGGTACGGAACTTTACAATGACAGAAAACGAAAAAACTTTGATAAAGGCCGAACTTTTAACGGTGTTTGGTGAACTGAAATCAGGTCATTACTGATTTTGGACATGCAACGAAATGACAGATTTGACAGATGAATTTTTCGATAACATTCTGTACGCTTGAGAATAAGTTATACACTGAGAACCAGATTTATCTGACGGCTATCTATAGACACATATGTAAGAAAGAGATAGAAGACGGCTAGATAGCGAGGCTCATCACCGCGTTCCCTAGCAATGCTGACGCGGCAATTTGCCAATACGTTACTTGAATTAAGATGTATGTTGAATACATGTGTCAGTTTATATTCTACGCCTAAGTAATCGTTTTATTTTGAGCGTACACATTTTTGAATTGTGTGTTGTGTCGCTCCATTTCAGGTCGGGATCGTCGCATATGCAGAAGCAAGGTTTATAAAATGTCAAAAAACAGACAAAATGTCGCTTTTCAAGATACGCAATACCCGTGTCCGATTTCTACTTTTTAATAGCGATAAGCAAGTTCACGTAGTGGTTTCTAATATTATATTACATGTCTTGGTAGAAAAATGTGGCATTATTGATCAAGCACCTTATATTCTGAGGTGCATAGCGTCACAGGATACATTGTGCGATTTCTCGAGTTAGTAACGAAAGAATAGTTTTTATTCCTAGAATTGTGCTTTCGAACTATAAGCCCCAAGAGAGAGTTTTTAAATGCAATCTGGCTTTATGATACCGATACTAACTTTTTTGCAACAGCCAGTCTTGTCTGTTTCTGTCAGACCTTTGACTATATAAGCTTTTTGACCACATTTTGTCGTGTTTTATTTTGAAAATTAATCTGATTATACTGAATCTAGGATAAAGTTGTACTGTGGCAATCTCCGGAGCAATTGGAAGAACAGTTCGACTTCAGTTTGAAACAAAATGGCGACGAACATGAGAAGCTGATATGTTTGTTGAGGAACACCATAAAATTTAGCGTCAAAACTGGACATCCGTATTTCATCAATCAGTTGTTTTCAGGGTAAGTCCATCTTTTTTCAAAATTTATTAACAACTAAGCGGTCTGGACAGGTAGGAGCTCCTTTCCATTCTATGCACTATAAGATCTAGGATTATACAGGGTAGTTTTGGAATGGCAATGTTCCCTTAAATTAGGTATCGGGCAATATTTTTTATTATCTATTTACTAACTAATACACAATCAAGTTTTTCAACCATGCAAGTTGACTGTAAATTCACTATTGGCTTCAAAAACGCGCCTAGGCATGCTTCTGATCAGGTGGTTAATGTCCTCCTGTGGTATCTCATTCCAGGCAACCACCAACTCCTCTCGAAGTGCTTCTAGAGTCTGAGGAGGACGTTGCAAATTGAGCAATCTCCTACCCATCATATCCCACACGTGCTCAATTGAGGATAAGTCGGGAGATCTTGGTGGCCATGGTAACAATGTGACATCATTATGTTGAAAGAAGTCTATTGTGACTCTTGCAACATGAGGTCGGGCCTTATCTTGTTGGAAAGTTGGATCTGCCAGGGTGTCAAGATGGGGTAAAAGATGGGGTTCTAGAACTTCGTGGATATAACGCTGCGCGTTCATGTTACCTCTGATGAAGATTAAAGGTGACCTGGAACCATAAGCTATAGCACCCCAAACCATAACTCCAACAGTGTGATGAACATGTCTTTCAACAAAAAACTGTGGATTCCTCCTTTCACCACGTCGTCTTCTAACCCTGGCACGACCATCGTGCATGCCTAAACAAAATCGAGACTCGTCACTAAAGACAATACTGTTCCATTCCTGATCCCAGAGTGACCGTTGTCTGCACCACTCAAAGCGATTACGTCGGTGTTCTCGAGTTAAAGGGAGGACCCAGTGTGGCCGGTATGAAAACAAGCCAAAACTTCTGATTCGTCGGTAAACACTTCGCATGCCAATAGATCTTCCGTGTTCTGCAAACCATTCATTTGCAATGGACCTGGTAGTGGAGAAACGGTCCCTTAAGGCCAATAATCTTAGGCGGCGATCTTCACGGTCTGTTGTTCTATGGCGGCGTCCAGTGCCCCTTGCTCTTTGCGTACGGCGTTCTCGAAGCCATGCCTGACAACACCTAACCACAGTGTCTACACTTCCTTGCACTCTAACTGCAATTGCCCGAAAAGAAAGTCCAGCTTCCCGAAGTCCCACTATACGGCCCCTATCAAACTCACTAAGTTGACGAAATCGTCCACGTCTCCGTACTCTAGGCATCGTAACCGATCGTAAAGGATGTCAAGAACCAAAATCCGCCAACGTTGATTCTTTACTGCGGCTGAAATATTCATTTTTAGAGCGTTAGTGAATTAAAAAAAGCAGTATAAAAACCGGAATGTCCAACTGATAAGGCTGAAAATCTTTTCACTTGTTATTTACAGTAAGATAAATACATTCACCAACTTTTATTAAAATAAAACCATTTAAACTGGGTGTTCGGATTTATATGCCACTTAGTATATATTCTTCTAATATAAGTAACGTCTTAAATAAATGTTCCACTTATTAGTATGGATAGATAACATTTTTTTGACAACCTCGTATCAGCTGCTGCAAATGATGAGCTCGATACGGAATTGGATAGACTGTACTCTGAGTCTTCATTACATCCCATTAACTCATATAAATTAGCCGTTATGTTATTTTTTTATCAAGAATATCAAAGCGGCAAGGAGCTTAGATTTGGAAATAATAATAATCCGGCTTTATTTATACAAAGTATAAAAATGTGAAGTGTTGCTAAAAAGCGTTTCTCAACTTAATCCAACAAATATTTGTGTAAATTTTCTAATCCCAATGAAAACAAAAAAGTTAAAAAAAAACCTGTAACGAGTACATATAAATAGAGATGTTGAATGTCTCTGGATAACCAAGATATACTTATTATATGTGTTCAGTTGATTAACATCTGAGTATCTGATAAATTTGGTTGATAGATATGGAGGGGCTTGTGTTGTGATTTGTTGTAGCTCTTCTGTTGAGGATAGGTAAGCAAAGCAATTCAACTCGCAGTGGTCTTCGGTTCAGAACAGTTTATTGAGTACTTGTACATGAATGCGTGGATACGCGACAGGTGTACAAGGTTAGGCGACGTGTCTGGTCGTCTCGCCAGTAGCGGCGCGACAGTTGACTAACGTGTTTTTCAAACCTCAAATCAGAATCAATCCAGAGTCCTAAATTCTTGCACTCATTTTTTATAGCTGCTCAATGATTGTGATGGTTTTGCCTAATTTTTGTTTTTTTGTACAAATATAACTGCGGATGATTTTAACAGGTTAATTTTGAGAGTATGAGTACAAAGTACGTTAGATAAATTTATTAAATCATTATTAATCAAATGTTCGGCATTATTTAAATCTTTAATATCAAAGAAAAAGTACAATTAAGTGTCGTCAGCATAGTGATGAATATTGCAGTGTTCAACGTATTCGTGGAAGTCAGAAATGTAAATTGAGAGAATGGAACCCTGTGGTACCCTAGTTTAAATATATAATGTTATTCCCATTCATTTTAAGAAACCGTGCTCCAAATCATTCAAGGTCAAATACAAAAATTATCTACTACAAATTAAAAAATGAAATAACAATAATAAACCTGCAACAATTAATATGACAGGAGCAATATCCTCCATCACTGTTATTCTGTTTTTATCTTTACTATTCAATCTTAGCCATTTATGTTTTTTTTTCTAAGTAACTCACACTTCATAAAAGTGCATTATTTTTGTTAGCACTTGTATCTGTTTTTCTTCTTAAATGAGTTAATGTAATGACTTGCTGTACTTGTGAATAAATTTCTTTACTACTATTATTATAATACCACAAAACAATGTACATACCTTCCATATCATAAACATTTTAAAGGTGTTTCAATATTTGGATACAACGCAGACAAAAAAAGGCACAAGGGTGCACAACAAATATCTTCCCATATCGAAGCTTTCAACATGAAAAAGCCAAGCCTACAGTACAAATAAACAAGGACCCTTCTACTTACTGTAAATATCGAGTTACCCGAACTGATATATAGGAGTTTTATCATGTGGAAAAGAACTCTCGGCACAAACAGAGAAAGAGAAGCTCAACTGCTGGATTGATTGCGTAAATATTTGTTAGAAATACAATCGAATTATGAAATATGGGGTTTTTGTATCAGTGCGGAAATTACTATTTGTTGAGAATTTTTTATTTTTAATCTGATATATACTAAGTGACATATAAATTTGAACACCCAGTTTAAATGGATTTTGTTTTAATAAAATTTTGTATAAGTACTTAATGAAGCATAATAAGTAAATGATAAAAATTTCAAAATGATTGCACTGCTTTAAAGCCCTTTGACCTTTAATAATGTGTTGATGCACCCTGATGTGCTACGCATTCTCCAACGCGCCTACGCATGCTTCTGATCAGGTGGTCAATGTCCTCCTGTGGTATCTCATTCCAGGCAACCACCAACTCCTCTCGAAGTGCTTCTAGAGTCTGAGGAGGACGTTGCAAATTGAGCAATCTCCAACCCATCATATCCCACACGTGCTCAATTGGGGATAAGTCGGGAGATCTTGGTGGCCATGGTAACAATGTGACATCATTATGTTGAAAGAAGTCTATTGAGACTCTTGCAACATGGGGTCGGGCATTATCTTGTTGGAAAGTTGGATCTGCCAGGGTGTCAATATAGGGTAAAAGATGGGGTTCTAGAACTTCGTGGATATAACGCTGCGCGTTCATGTTACCTCTGATGATGATTAAAGGTGACCTGGAACCATAAGCTATAGCACACCAAACCATAACTCCAACCGTGTGATGAACATGTCTTTCAACAAAAAACTGTGGATTCCTCCTTTCACCACGTAGCCTTCTAACCCTGGCACGACCATCGTGCATGCCTAAACAAAATCGAGACTCGTCACTAAAGACAATACTGTTCCATTCCTGATCCCAGAGTGACCGTTGTATGCACCACTCAAGGCGATTACGTCGGTGTTCTCGAGTTAAAGGGAGGACCCAGTGTGGCCGGTATGAAAACAAGCCAAAACTTCTCATTCGTCGGTAAACACTTCGCATGCCAATAGGTCTTCCGTGTTCTGCAAACCATTCATTTGCAATGGACCTGGTAAGTGAGAAGCGGTCCCTTAAGGCCAATAATCTTAGGCGACGATCTTCACGGTCTGTTGTTCTACGGCGGCGTCCAGTGCCCCGTGCTCTTTGCGTACGGCCTTCTCGAAGCCATGCCTGACAACAACCTAACCACAGTGTCTACACTTCTTTGCACTCTAACTGCAATTGCCCGAAAAGAAAGTCCAGCTTCCCGAAGTCCCACTATACGGCACCTATCAAACTCACTAAGTTGACGAAATCGTACAGGTCTCCGTACTCTAGGCATCGTAACCGATCGTAAAGGATGTCAAGAACCAAAATCCGCCAACGTTGATTCTTTACTGCGGCTGAAATATTCATTTTTAGAGCGTTAGTGAATTAAAAAAAGCAGTATAAAAACCGGAATGTCCAACTGATAAGGCTGACAAATTTTTCACTTGTTATTTACAGTAAGATAAATACATTCACCAACTTTTATTAAAATAAAACCATTTAAACTGGGTGTTCGGATTTATATGTTACTTAGTATAATTAAGGCCTTTGGGAGTGATACGTACCTTTCTCAAACAATGAGAAAATGGACAACGAACATGGCCTCAAAAAGTTTGACTCTTTATTCACATAAGAAATTTTTTTTTTCGGAAAATGATCACGATCCTTTGAAGTCTTGAAAACAAACTTTCAGTGATTTGGATTTTTTTCATTTCTGACCTTTTTATCTACCGCCACTGGATAGATTTTCAAAACCTGCGAAGCTTTAGCTTTCGTTGCGTAGTAGTAATGTCGTGTAAAAATTTCATTGATTTCATTATCAAGTTATAGGCGGTTATAAGATTATATGCCCTTTCGCAACGGAGGATCTTGTTACATCTGCCTGTCCTTACGGGA